TGGAAAGTTGATTTTAATGAAAAAAATGGAAACAAATGCTGCTCCGTATATTTAAAGAATTGGAGGTCACTGCTTCAGTGCAAGGAACTTATTATGCATTATTCAATTAGAAATGGTGTGTTAATGTGCTAATGATTAATGGAGAATTCCATGTAGTTTAATGTAACCATCAGGAAACAAACCTTCTGTGTTATGTATGAAAAAAGGCTGCCAAGGTTGATATCAGTGGCTATATTTTTGAGAGAATCTTGCCTCTGCATTCCTGTGTATGTGGTATACTCCTCCTGCCCCATACTAACAAGCTAACTTTTGTAAGGTTGAAAGTCATTAGACTCGTGGGATCTTGTGAGGATGCTGTGATTAGATCCCAGAAAGTTGGGAGGAGGCAGGCGGGGGAATGCAACCAGGGAAGGTGTCAACACACTTCTTAATGCACACTGTGTCTCACTATACCCCTTGACTGCCTTAAATAGACATCAAGTGACATTCCTTCTATTCTAGTTACCAAAGGCAACTGTTGTTAATTTATCATATGTCTTAAGGTTTGATTTGGCTATAGATTTTATAAATGTTAGCTATACAAATTAGGATGCAATTTACCTTGTGTTAGTCTAAAAGTCAGTGGTTTGATAAAAGAAAAAAAAAAGCAAGCTAGAGATTTTTTAGAGATTTTAAGGGTTTTTATTACTTAAGGTTTTCTCTGTGCTGTATTTTTACCACACACACTTTTACCAAAGATAGAGTGCATGAAGCTACAAAAAGAAGTCCCTTGTGCTCTGAACTAAGTACCCACACAAAGAATTTTTGCACTGTGAACTCCCATTTTCTTACATCCTACTAAATAAAAAGGTAATCCCTTATTTCCCCACTGCTAGCCTTGAGGAAAAAAGGTGCCAGAGCTCCACCTACCAGAAGGACAGACATCAAGGAGCTAGATTAATGATCTTAGTACTCACCAGGGGTAGATTACCAAGCCATTTCATTAGCCCTGCTCATTGTTATTAAAATATTCCATTATCATATATGTATTTTAGACTCTTTTCCCAGGACTGAAATTAAGACAGTACATAGAAGTGATAATTGCCAGATAAATTTTATTTTTCCCTAAAGCAGCCCTGATGATTTAAAAAACGTCTAGATAATAGGCCCACAGAAAGCAAGACAGTGTTCTGCTCAAGATCACTTGAAACTGTGTGTACAAGTTAAGCATTCTCACTCTATTGTATGTTAAATTATCTCTTGACAGCTATTACAGCAACCACAAGCATATTCAGCTGTGGAAACTAGGTTCCTGGATTAAGAAAACACATTTTTATGTCTGGGTTGCATTGTTATTGCCCTTTAATTTAGAAGAATTCTTAAATTTAATAATTCAAAGGGGAGAAATTATGTTATGTGCTGTCTTCAACTGTTCTCCTCACTAGTATAGCTAGTATAGCTTGTTACAGAAGAGTAAGACTAAGCATTAGACTTAGACAGACGTGCTGTATTGACAGATCATGAACTTTTCAGAAGGATAAAGATACAGTTTAAAAGATTAGCATTCAGTGAACACAGTGACATGCCTCTGTGTACCTTATGCTATGCAATTTGGTGTTATGTGTGTCAAAACTACTGTTGTATGTGCATTTTATTTATATTCTAAGTTATTTTGTTGATTAAAAAAATCTTCTTAAAAATACTATGGGCCTGTCCTTTCCTTTGCTCCCTCAAATAAAGTATTCCTATGCATATGGTATTCCAAGTAGTGGTGTGTAGTTTTGGCAATACTCTGCTTTTATTTAGTTGTGTACTGTGCTGATCCATTCTAGCACGTTAAAATAGTTAATCCAAGGGCAGACTTATAGTAAAACTGTGATTTCCATTCTTCCAAAAAGTTGTGCATGTGATGGTTAATTTCAGAAGCGTATCAAAATAAAATTGAAAGTGACACATAATATGCTGTACAATTGTAAAAGAATGACAAAAAGCTAAGTGGAGGAAGAGGCCACCACCTAAACACATGTAGCTGGTTCCATGGAAATTCAGAGTTTTTCTTTTTTTTAAGCAGGGAAAGCTGGTTGCAATCAATTCAATGCGTTGCAGCTGCAACGTTCAGTCTTACCAGAGTGGTAAGTGGAGTTCTTCCCTAGGGACAACTTTTTTCAGCGGATTAAGGCAGCCACTTACTCTTGATTGCGAGAACAAACCATGGATAAATCATGAGGGGCAGATCGATAAACTTGGCAGTAAGACTGCAGAGGTGGCCATCTGCATTTCACTAACATGGGTCACACTGTTCTTCCATGAGACGCGTGTTTCTTCTTGATATTACTTCTCCCATGGTTAACTTTAGGCAGTGAATTAAAAGCAGAATAGAGAACAATGTCAAAGATATTGTGCCAATGTATATATCTGTGGCTTCAACTGCTTTCCGCACACTGTGGGGAGTTCTCTCCCCCTCCCCATCTTGAGGATACAATAGACTTTGGAGAAAGCCCAAATAAAGGCAAAGACGACAACTGAAGGTAAGAGGAACAACTGATGACTTTGCATCTCTTCCACACTAAAAGGTGTGTGCACAAAACATTAGAGAGGGCTGCTAAATCATGAGTTGCACTGAAAGCCTGGATAGAGACACAATTTCACTATCTTGCCTAGTAGGAGTTAATTTGTGAAGCTAGAAGATAGCTTGAGAAAACAAAAAATGTGCTTTTTAATGTGGTAACTCAATCTGTGGAACTCCTCTGCCAGAAAACGTGAGTTTCAAAAGTTACTTACAAGGACAACTTCACAGATGAGAAAGACATTCAAAATCATTGTATAGACAGAAACGATATATGTCTCTGGAAATCCCCTAAACAAAAAATAGAGGCTGGAAGAGATAGTAGAGGAAGAATAATGTGTACTTGCTTTCCTCTTTCCGTGAGCATGTTTATGGAGCAGGGTTTTGGGTGAGCTACACCACGGTCCATTCCAGTGCAGCCACCTTTAGGCATATTACAGCTGGACTTGATGGTGAAGATCTTTTCCAAGCATAATGTGATTAACAACCACATTGCTCTTGGATGGAACAGTTCCACATTTGGCTGCTCTTAAGGTGTCAACATGAATAAAGGAATAAATGCAGTGCACACTTTTACTAAAAGAGGATCACAAAACTTGGTGCTCCACTAAAATAAAATCAATACTGTTGTGTGCCTAACTTCACATTATGATTTCTTGTTCAATGCCTACCAGCAGTACCCGGTCACCTAGTTAGAGGCAGAAGGAGCTGCAAATTTGATCACAAAGTCTTTGCTGAACACTGAATTCAAGCCACAGGCAACTTCAATAAATATTATGCCGCTCTACAGCTCAAGCTAAACAAATAAACCAACCAACCAGGATAAAGATTAGGATTCTAGATCGGCCCCCCAAAAACCTAGTGAGGTTTTTTTTTTTTTTTTTTGTTACTTTAAGATTGTATTTTAATATTGCTGGAGGCAAAGAAAAAATGCTGAGGAAGAGCACAGAGCTTGTACAAAGCTTCAACTCTCATAGCTCTAGTGCCTGAGGAACAGAACTATCTTAAAGACTACCCACAAAAAGTGGTAATTGGATTAAAATTCTTGTGGAAGCTACAAAGCAACCTTCACGACCCAAATCATACCTAATACAAATGCAAAGAAAGATGACGTGCAAGACTAACCCTACAGAAGACAGAGTCATTATAGAATAAAAAGACTTTTATTAGATTTTTACAAAAAGAGAAGTTTTTTTTTTTAAAAAAGTCATATCAGATGTATGTAATATATAAGGTTACACACTCCTACCCACTGCCTCACAGATTCATAGTTTGTCCCTTACTTCCTCAAAGGGGAAAGAGCACCTGGATTTCTATGTCAAAAATCAAAGGCTCATCTATTTTTTTTTCTGCTGACTTCAATCATGAAAAGCAGATGGTGTGATGACACTAGATTAATAGAGGTTATGGATTGCTGTTACACTTTTTCTAGCAGTAAAGTCTCTTCGAGAAGTTTGTACCTCCTGATTATCCTGGTTCCACTTTGGAAGGTAATATGCTTTTTTCTTAAAGCCAGGATGACTGCATTGTTATGCTTCATGGGGTGGCCCCACTAAATCAGTGCAAGTGGGGGCTGAAGAGCTTTGCCACTCACAACATTGTAACTGGGAACTGCATTGTCAGAGGTTATCATCTGTTTAGAATATCAATAGTTATCCTTTCTTTAGCCAGATGTACTCCACTTAAAGCTAATGTCATGCTGAGACTGTTCGGAAAGCGCAGAAAAACCCTCACAGAACCAGAATAGGTTTATTATAGTGCTTTGACAAGTAATTATCATGTATCATCAAAAATTGTTCTCATGACAAAAATTGAGATATAGCTTATCAATGTGATCAATTGCATCTTAGTAAATAATACAATCGTGGACAGTTATTTCTCATTAAGAAATACTGTAAGATATATACAAATGCTTCTTCAGGTAAATGTCCTTTTTGCAAGTATGCAAATGGCATTTCTGAACAAGTGCATTTCTGAACTTTCATTCTGAGTCCTATCAAGTGTACACAGAGTTCAGTATTTTGTATCTTCTTCGGAGTTTACTCACCTTTCAAAGACTGCTTCTGAAAAAGTCACAAGAGTACAAGATTTATATACATAAAGGCACAGCAATTCTTTTGAAACTAGCTATGTTACAGTACAATAAGGTTCAGTCAGTGCCTTTCATGCAACAAAGTTCACTAACAAATGTGATTCTTTTTCCAGTAAAATTAACTGCACAAGGACTGCATCCTTGCCATTCAGTAAATGGAACAATCAACTATTACTTAATTCAAATATACTACAGAGACGTGAAAGAAAGAAGTATGTAAAATGCTTTTCCTTTTTGCCAAAATTTATTAGATCTTCAAGGCTATTTCTCATCAAAATAAAATATTTTTCAACTAAAAGCAAAGGTAGTGTTTCTTTTACATTAAGATGGCACACTAATTTTTCTAGTGTTGGTTTTATAATAATAAATTTTATATATAGGTGCTGTCCTAGGAGACATCACCACCAGGTGCAGAACAGCCAATTCTAAAGAAATACGTAAAACTGAGATTAGAAGAAAACCTTGAACTCAGAGGTCATACTCAGATCACTTATAAATGATGCATCATTAGAACTAGATCCCTATTTGGTCCAGTGCTTAAAAAGACTGCAGGCAATGGACACAAGAAATGTAGTTCTTCCTGCCAATTGATTCAAAGTATTCTCCTCCCTCCCTAGTATCAACTTCAAGTCGTCACTTCTGAAGCTTCAGAGCTCTCCTAGGCTTCAGTTGCATTGAAGGAATATTTGCACTTTTACACGTCTGCAGCTAAGTAGGAAGGCAGACCGTAGAAGGCCAAACTAATCCACTCCCAAGGCTCTGAGCTGCCGTTCAATCTCTTCATCTGAAATAGTAGCAGCTTTTGATGTGGATGCAGATGGTAAGCTTCTGGCAGCTGATGGAGCTTTGGCCATCTAGAAGACAGCAAAAGTTTTCTTTAGTCAAAAGAGTTTGAGTTGTGACAGCCTGATTTCTACAACAAGGCTTTAAAATAAAGAATTCTAGAATAAACTATTAAAAACAAACACAGAAAGAAAAGGAATCAAGAGTTTACCGACTGAAAGTCCCCTCACCTTTCCAGAGATTTCAATTCCAATCTCATCAAGCACTTGGTTAACAATATCCTGGCTTTCTTCCTCTTCATCTGACGCATCAAAAATATCATCTAGAGTATCATTAACTTGGAAAAAAATAAATAAAAAAACACAATGCATTATACAAAAAAAGATTACAAAAGATAACCAAGTACCCTCTTTCTTGTTTCTCAAAATTCAGCAATAAATACCATGAATAAGACAAAGAACTTGCACATAGAACTTTTCTCATTTCTGCTTTGCAAAGCCTGTGAACATAGCTAGATTTAACTTAAGAAAAAAAATCCCTTTCCTCTTCCTCCAAAAAAGTTAAAATTTTAATTACTCAATTTCTGAACTACAAAAGCACATTTCTGAGCTGTTGAGCTGTCATGTCTTGCTCAAAAATACTGTTTTGAATCTACTAGGAGCAACACAGTGGCAGGGCTGGGAAGGCTAACTGCACCAAGAGGTTCTGCATAACTTGATCAACAGATGCAATCAGTAACAAAAAACACACACAAAAAATCCCAGCTAATACCTTCTCCTTGTCCTCCAGGAAAAACAAAACAAAACCACACCTTTGTGGTTTAAATTAAAAAAGACACATATATATATATATCCCCTTATGCTATATACATAAAGCTGAAATGATCAGTAATCTCTAAATTAAAGTCAAACTTAAGTCTGGCCACCAGCCCCTGAACAGAAAATACCACAAGAACTAATAGCCACCAAAGGGAATTTGTCAAGTCCCCCTATTAGTTGTGCTGACATTTTGAACCAGTGTCAAGCCCCCTCCTTCCAGTAGATTCATTCTGGATACATGATGGGCACTTCGCATGTTGATGGTGGGAATGGATTTATACATCTATTGCTACTAAAAAGCCTAAGGCAGCATCCTTCCACAGACATTGTTTTGATTGCTCTTCACTTACTATCAATAATCTCATTAATTCTAACTGTAATCACAGCATTATTTCTAGTCTGGTTCTAACCCTTCAAAATCACTGTGACCTGAAGTTAGCTACTTGTTACAATGCAGAACTTACTCATTTCTTCAGTCATCTCCATCTTCACATTCTCCTTCTGGAAATTCTGCATAGTTTGCAGCGTCTTCTGTGGGTCCATTTTCTTGTTAACTGCTTGCATTGTCTAACAATATAAAAAATATTTAAGATTAATCATACAATGAGACATTAGTAAGGGCCAATGTATGCACACAGAAAGATTAAAACTTTTCTAACAAAGAAAAACTTCAGACCAAATTTGGCCTTCATTGCCCTCTTACATTCTGTAAAAACTGTGGATACACAAAGGATGAGTAAGTACAGTCAGCAGCTATTAAGAAATACTGCCATTTACTACATTAATAAATATGCTTTTACATGTATGCATCCTTCTTGCACTCCCCCTCTTCCCTGACCTTTTATGAGAAAAAGCTGCCTGATCCTAATAAAAAGAATAGGACGGAATTACCTAACTTGTAAGCTACATATTTTAAAAACATAAAGGGTTGCAGGGTTTTTTTCCTCAGTTAGGAACATTTATTTCAAACATCACTAAAGGACGGGCATTAAATTCCTATCACTTCTTCATGCTATAATTTAATGGGGAAAAAAAAATGAATTTTCTCTGAAAAACAACTATCAAGGTGATCTGCAAGTACCCATTAGTTTAGGTCAACATTTGTATCAGGTAGAGATACTTCTGCAACAGTCATAATAAACTTCGGTTTTAGCATGAGTATGCAGGATTGCCTTTGCAGCCACTGGTATTTAATACTTCCTTCTCCTGTCCCAAAAAGCAAGCTACTGTCTCTCATGGCATGCCAAAACCTGAACATAATCATGAGCAATTTAAATGGAAAGTCTAATCATCTCTGGGAAGAGGAAAGAATTGGTTCATCAAAAAGGGATGCTATCAAATTTGTACAGCCACTACTGACTTTCTAGAAGCACTGCAGAAGGACTTCTGCCTTCGTTTCTGATTTTGTTTAAATTTCATAATGTATTAAGCTTCTATTATTACTTGAATTATAAGCATTGTATTCATTCACATTATGTGAACTGAAAAAAAAAAACCTTGCTTGCATTACTGTTTTGGAATTCTTTTAATAAAATTATAGATGGATCTCAGAAAAAGAATGCACTAAAGTGATTAAGAATTTATGTATCTTGAAAAAATAAAGATAAGTTGTATGAATAAAAGCCATGAGACTAGCTACTGGGTTTTTACTACGTGTACAATTAATGCCAGACATGCTAAAAAGTACACACTTAGAATCTTGAAAGCTTAGCATTCATTCACTTGTCCTGACTGTTGAGGCATTTGATTGCATTTATTTTTTCAAAGATGGCCATAGGATACTTAGAACAATTTTTAAGCTTCAGAATTAACTGAAGATTTTTAAAAATTATTTTCCAAGCTTTCATTTTCTTTGTGAAAAAGAGAAAAAATGTTTACTTTAACATTGACCAAAATAATCTAACTCTTTCCAGCAAACATTAGTCAAAGTAGTCCATGGAAGTACCTGCTGTGTTTCAGAAAGCACCTCTTTTCTGAATTCTGGTTTAATTTTTATTTAATATTTTACTGACTTTCTCTCTGCGTTTAATTTGTGACAGTTTCCTTTTAACCCACCTCTTCATGGGCTAGTTCTGGAAGATGGAAAGTTTGCTGTAGAGCTCCTAAAAGAAACCTGATAAAAAAAAAGTCCCAGTAGTAATTACTTTCTGCCTTATATTGCAGTACATTGTTGGATATACTTGGTGCATAACTGAGTCCAGCTTGGGCTGTGATAAAAGCAAAACTTGCCCAGAATGTGTGCTAATTCTGTGCTTTAAACCTGGAGCTGAACAAACCAGCTTGTTAAAAGTAAACTCCCTACTTATCAATTCAGGGAAATTAGAAAGTTTGCAAGTACATTACAGACATTTTCTGGCATCTTTTTGTGAGATTTGTGAGAAGAAAATTGCAATATTAATTCCCTAGAGCACAGAGAGTGAGAATGACACGGAATTCCTGACTAATTTATGTAGAAATATAAACTGGTAACCAATGACTTACCTTTCATACAAACTAGAAAGCTAGTGACACACTGCTCTGATTTCTGAGTGAAGTATACTCTATTTTTTTCCAAAAAGTTGCTTGTGACAAGCAAAATTATGCAAGCAAATTATTTTTTTCCCCTTTGTCTACTAAAAGAGTTCTTCCACTACATTACATTTAATTTTTAATCACGCAAACATTTCACAAAATATCTAACCCAACAAAGTATGCTTAATTAAGTGCTAACTGGCAGGACTGACTAGATCAAAGTTTCCTATATGAATCAAATTACACTTTCCTATTGTATCTTCATTGCCATTTAGAATATTAATTTCATTCCTTCTGTGATCTTACACAAAAGAATTCAACTTCACTTTTACAAGCATACCTTAAGTTGCTTTCTAATGTAAATTATTTTATCTTTTAACAGCTTACTTTTGCTGTAGTTGACATAGCTCCTGCCATCTTCATCTGAGAGTTCATCACCTTTGTTTGGGTTGACATGGAGGTAACTTTAGAGCTAACAGCATACGTTCGATTTTTCTGCTTTCGAAGCTGCACAAGTTGTTTTGCTAGAACTTTACAGGCTTCTTTATTACCAGTCTTAGCCATTTTCTTTATTTCTAGTTCCTATTAAGGGGAAAAAAAAAAAAAAGATTAATTCTACAGAGTTTTCATTCATACAAATCCATACATTCATACATAAGCCATAGCACTCTAATAAAATTCTGGAAATTAACTAGCCTCTTGTTTTTCAAGGCACACCGGTAAACTGATAGAAATACTCTTCCTGGCTTTCCTATCAGGGGTCTCTATAAAAGAAATGATGTTCTGCTCCCACCAGGCGGGGGGAAAATTACTTTTTGATGGTAAGGAATTCCCTAAAAGCCTGTTCTGCAACTTTTTCAACATAACCTTATACATGAAAATGTGTGAACATTCAATTCCAAATCCAGATATGGGATAAGATTAAAAAAGAAAAGAAAAGAAAAGAAACACTACTAAGGGCAACTAACTGCTTGGGCCATGACTCTAGTGTTAGATTTTTGCACTCATTGGCTTTACTCTATTTAATTTATGACAATCAAGCCATATCATCCATAGGATGACTTGGGGAATTTGTAGGTTCTCTTCAATATTTTTTTTTCATAATTTATAGAAAATCTTAAATAATCTTCCTGAAAAAAGAATTAGATGAAACTAGATAAGCACTAATTAAATCCTGTATTTGCCCACATAATATTGCTGGACTCAGCTTGGCACATAATAAAAGCAGTCCCTTTTTTCTGAAACGAGATGCTCCAACTGCGCATCTTAAGCCTTAAGCTGGACACTCTACTTGCAAAAAAACCGACTTACTTATTGATACATAGAGAGACAGTAAAGCTATTTAGCCTGGAGATATCATGGCAAAGTTTGAAACAAACAGTTCTGCTAACTGGGATTTTCCAAAATATGCATTTTGATCTGCAACTTCATAATGCAAACTTTCTTAACCATTTTTCATTCAACTTTTTTAAGGAGAGGTTACCATATTAACACACATCATATATGGCTGATCATGCACTTGTTTTTATACATTTTGCTTAACGGCAAAAGCAGCGTTGTATTTCTTGAAGGGAATATACTTAATACAAGAACACAAACGCTTAGCTTTCTTCACCTGCACTGGAAGTCCAGAAAAACGTACTATGAAGTAGGTATGTTCCTCTGAAAAGACAAGTGCTGCTCACCAGAATATACAGGACATCCATTCTCAAGAGAAATGCATTAGCTTTAATCATGATCTTTCATAGTAGTAAGTTTACTATAGAGATTGCACTGGCAGAAGATCTTTTCCAACAGTCCGTAATTTTTTAAGGGATACATCCTAAATACTACTTTTAACTTCAGTAAGTGCAAATCAGCAAGGAGTGTGAGATTATTCAAATATTATAGCCCTGAAATACATGCAAAGCTATCTCCTTTGTAGCTAGTTCACAGAGACCACAAAAACAAATCTCTATAGCATGCCAAAATATAATTTTCAGTAGCTCAAATATTGTGAAAGATGGGAAGGATTTGTTTGCACACTATGATTCTAAGAGTCTAACACTAGAAAATAGTGATTTTGTTAGTAAGATGAAACATCTAATTAGTATTTATAACCCAACTCTCAAAGTGAAATACAAACCAACATCAACATTGCAGACAACTGTAGCACAGGAATTAAACACCTATATATAGTTGATTTATTTGTAATTAAGAACTTGGATAGTGGATATTATTTCCTTCTTAGAGGTTTCATGCAAGCCTATTCGAGGCAGTTACATTCTGGGAAAAAAGAAATATCAAAATTCATAAGTCATATGAGGTTACTGAACTGAAACAGAACTGACTGCATAATTGAGAAAGGTATTTTTTATGCTAAATATAACAAAGTTATCCTGGAGTAATATCGCCTGTTTAAGAAAAATGTTCTTTCTCTGGAAAGAATATAACAAAATGTTCTGAGATTGACTGGCAAGCTTTCTGTCCTTTTTCACCTGAACTACTTTTGAAAATTTGTACTTGTTGCCCATTGGTTCTCCCTTCCTTAGCAGTGGATTTTAACTTCTACAAAGATGTATTTCTCCTTATTGTCTTCTTTGTCCCCATTTCTAGAACAAAAATCCAAAGCCAGAATACCTGAAACAATTTCCTGTCATAAATAATCAGAACTTCAAGGAGAGTCTTCAAGAAAATGAAGGTCTTCCGAGAGTCAGGATATTTCATGCTGAAAAATGCCTTACCTTCTAGTAACCTATTATATCTCCCACGTCCAAGGTTTTAAGACATAACTAATCTCAGAGTATTTTTTAATCTCATTTCCAAGTCCTGCTATTCATGTGACCTGCAGCCATCAGACACCACAGTAGTAAAAACTGAAGCAGTGACTGGATTTGCATAGCTATTCCCACAGTCTGAGCATGTCTTCATACATCAAAACCTACCATCTGCCACAGCAATTCAACCAGTTACACTGCTGCACTGGTGTGGCATCCATTCACCAAACACTTGATAGCTCACTTGCACAGAGTTTTATATAAAATCTTAGTTTAGGTAGACAGTTGCAGGGAGACCCTACAAAGATGAAAAGAATAACCACAGCCAGGTTATGATTAGGTTATCCCTGTGGAGTTTGGAGTACTTTCTTCCACTGAAGAATCTTGATAGCCTATAAAAGCATTGAGCATTTCCATAAGGTTTATAAATGAGTGGTCTAATAATCGAAAAGCTTTTTGAAAACAAAATAAGCACCTGAAGGAAAGGGAATGCTAAGGATAGAGAAGAAAGTGTAATGCTTTTTGACTAAAGAACTGGATCTGACTTTTATTATGTTAAAGATTGAAAATTACTTTTAGATGGTAATTTTTTCCAACACTTACCGATATGCACAATTTTAATAACACAGGTATCAAATGTGGAGACAAATTTTTCAGGATTGAATTATACACTGAGTCATACCTCAGCACTTCGTAAGTCTTCTATGATATTGGAAGGTTTTGTTGTTCTCTGTTATACTTACCAGCTGTTTTTCCTGTTTTTCAAGTGCTGCTCTATCTCTGGTAATAGCTCTCTGGGTACCTCTTAGCTCTCGATTCTGCTCCTTTATTATATCTGTAAAGAAAACACTTATAGCTGAGAAAAGTTTTCAGTACTGCATAAACATTTGGTCTGCTGAGTGCTCTGCAGACATGTTGTATGTTGGACAATTTCCTTTCATTCAGGATGAACAGTAATGCCACCGATAGCTGACTAGACCTCAGCATTTCAAATATATGAAATACTGACAAAAATATTTTTTGCGTATACAATATAAAACCTATTTGGTAAGAAAAAAAAAAAAAAGAATTTGTCTTCACATGTTTCTTTGCATTATAGCAAGGGCCTTAATCACACAGTAAGGATTTTGTAAGCACACTTTTCCGCAGGTTTCAACTCTAACTTGGCAACAACATATTCCCTGTGAGCTCAGATCTCTTCAGCAAGACAGGCCCAACTGCAACAGGGAGGTCAGCTGACGAAATATTTCATCTGAGATCACAACACGGTTAAGGCCTTACTAAGGCCAGGAAAACAGCTAAGTTACTTGTAGGTGCAAGTCCTGAATCCTGCTTTTCTCTGTTTTTATTCTGTCTCAGTGGAGACTTTTCTGCTTCACAAAAGTCTGGCTCAGCTTCAAGTCAGGCTACAAAGCCATGGTGTTCAAGCCTTTTCCATTAGCAGATGTTTAAGTATAAAAATAGACTTTACGCTTCCTGACAACAGACAGGGCAAGCAAGAGAGCAAGCTTGAACACAGTCTGTCAGGTGAAACATTTCATTCCTCAGGGAAGGTTTTTGTTTGTTTGTTTGTTTTTTCCCCACTCTTATTTACTAAATTACTTATTGGTAAGACCCGCTTATTAAATGCAACTATCATTTACAATATAGGGATTAATCATTCAAATGGCCTCCAACTTCTGTTAGGCTTTACAGCAAGTGTTTTGGCTGTTTCTAATGCACAGAAGTAACAACACGGGCAGGGCCTTGCTACTTTATTTACGGGGTTTGTAACATGTGAAAAATCTACCCAAAAAAAGGTTGAGTTACTATGAGAAATGAAACCTTGAAGGGTAAATTGTAGAAACCATAGCCATGCTTTTTCATTTTTAATGCTAATTTTTCCAGAAACAGAAAAGGCGAATTCACATTGTCCTTTCCCAAAAAATTAGAGATACTGCAAAACATCCATGGCTGAAATGACTCCAGCCTTAATAGCTTCCAGCTGAAAGCCTCCAAACTTCAGTGGCATTTAAAAGGGGAAGACATGTACATATGAACCTTTCCCACTCCATCCATGAATAATTTTCAGCCTAATAAACAGCCACTGCAAACAAATGCTGTGATACTGAAAAAGCGATTTCTTTTTATGGTGCTATTACTGCTCCCAGAACTATAGGCACAACGTCTCCAGGAAATGCATGCTTTTCTGTGGCCATTAGCAAAGAGCTGAGGTGATACACAACATTAAAACTGCGTCCTGCAGACCAGCACAGCAAGAGTGGAAGTGATTCTGAAGGCAACACTACAGGCAAGTAATTTTAAGCGGAGACAATAGCATACTAATTGCATAGCTGCATGTATGAAAATGAAAGAAAAGGAAAACGTAGCAGAATTAGATACAAGGCCACCCTCTGTAACACAAATAGCCACCCAGAGATCCCCGAGCGCAGAAAACCTTGGGAAGCACAAGCTCGGAGACCCCAGGAGCCAGAGCTGTGACCAAGTGAGGGGATGTTGAGGGTTTGCACAACGCTGTGCTCGTTTCTGATGCTATTTCTGATTTCTGCAGCTACTGCCTCCTCTCTAATCCCCTTGCAAAGGAGGGGAAAGGCGAGAACTCGCATCCCAGATGGAGCAAGGGCCAGGTTTGCAACAGCGGAGCACAAAGGATTAAGGGACATTCCCGAGACTGCCCTTGGGCTTCCCACAGCACCTCTGCATGCCAGGGCACAGAGGAAGTACCTCGGAAAACTGGCTGGGCAGGAGCTGTTGTCACCCACAGTGCTCACGTCACCCACTGCTGTCACCCACACTGCTCACGTCACCCGCTGTTGTCACCCACTGCTCATGGGAGATTTGCGCCCTCTTCCTCTTCCTCCTCCAGCTCTGGCTGGAGAGAAGACGCGGGTCGGAGACACGCACCCCGCCCGGGGCACACGTCGCCGGGGGCGAGAGGCTCTCGAGGAGGCCCCACGCCACCCGCGGGGTGACACGAGGCGCCCGGGGGCGCCTGCCCGGCCCAGGCCCAGGGTGTCGGCGTGGGAGCAGCCTCGGGGCTGCCTTCCCCCACGGGCGGCTCAGGTCGGTCCCCGCTGTCCCCCGGCGCCCACGGTGGGTCCCGACGCCCCAAGGCGGCCTCTGCCGCGGGCCG